CTGATCTGTGGGCCGCCTGGAGCTGGTAAAACAACGTTGGCAAACATTGTTGCGCACCATGCTGGCTATAATCCTCTCGAAGTAAATGCAAGTGATGACCGAACAGCATCTGTATTGCGCAACAAGATTATCAGTGCTATGGAAATGCAATCAATTTGGGGCGAGTGTAAGCCTAATTGTATCATCCTTGACGAAATTGATGGTGCCATGAACGGCAGCGATGGCAAATCGGCCATTGAGGTGATTCAAGAGATTGTGAATGCTCCTCTGGCGAAGAAGAAAACAGGAGCAAAGATGTCAGCTAAAAATCGTCATCCGCTGACCCGTCCGCTCATCTGTGTCTGCAATGACCTGTACGCTTCTGTGTTACGTCCACTGCGTCGGATAGCCAAGATTTTCACACTGGATGCACCACATCCGCAACGTCTCGTTACACGTCTGAAGCACATTTGTCGTCACGAGGGGATCAAAGCTTCTACAGGCGCGCTAGCAAATCTGTGCTCTAGCGCTGGCAACGATATCCGCTTTTGCTTGAATACGCTACAATTCCAAAGTACTCAGTCGCGCGAAGCTGCGGCAAACAAATCGGCTCCAGTCGTGGCTTTCAGCTGTAGCGTACTTGCGCAAAAAGATCATGCTCATGGCATGTTTGAGGCACTGAATCTTGTGTTTTACGAAGCGCGCTCAACATCAGCCAAAGGTCAGCTCCCTGCTATTGAGAAGATTATTGCAGCCGTGTCGTCGCTAGGCAATTCTTCCTTATTACTTAACGGTCTGGACGAGAACGTCCCAAAGATGATGTTTAACGACCCCACCATGAACAAAATATGCGACGTGTTCGAGTGGCTGGGTCTCGCAGACGAGTACGAGAACCGCGCCCATTCAGAGCAGCAATACGTGTTTCAAGCATATATTCCATTTGCTGCCATCGCGACACACGCGTCTTGCTGCACAAGCTCTAGGCGTCGTGTGGAGTATCCTCGAGCCCAATTCGAGGCTAAAAAGCGAAGCGATCATGCTGAAAATATACTTGGGGCGCTAGTAGAAGGAGCACTGTTGCAACCGATTCTGCGATTGAGCACCGACGATCTCGTCGTTGATCTTGTACCATGGCTGCTTGCAATATTATCGCCTGGTCTTCGCCGCACCAATCCGTCGCTACAGACGAAGGAGGAAAAGGTCATGACCCATCGACTCATCCAGCTAATGACGTCATTGGGGCTGTCATTCCAGCACAAGTACTTACTTGATGGTAGTGAGGACTACGCACTTGAACCGTACGTGTTGGTGGATCCTATTTGTAAAGCTTTGCATCACCTCTCATGATTATACCTGATTGCTTTGTACAGACCACTGAACGAACTCGTGGAGTTCCGAAGCGATGAGACCAATGCAGCGTATCGATTCGTGCTTCCACTGCTTGTACGAAAAATGATTGCTCGCGAGGTGGAGCTAGAGCAGATGCGTCGAAATGAAAGCACGGCTTCGACGAGGCGACATGGCAACAGCAATTCGATTAGCAAGATGACTCACGTACCGAGCGAAGCCACTATCGAAGAGAAGGCTGCCAAGATCACCTACGCTTTGCCGGAACTCAGTGGTACGTTATCCCGTCTGCTTGGTCACAGCGTAAATCTGTACTTCTCACACTTGACTCGGTCCTGGTGTGCTAAACAACAGATATAGAGCAGGCGAAGAAGGACGAGGCTTTGCGCAAGCGTAACCCTTTTGCATTCGCACACCGCGAGGCTAAACGCAAGCGCGACGAGGAGTCGGATGCAAAACTGAAGCGACAGCACACCGCCGCTGCTCATGTGCATTCCATGGTGCGCTACAAGTACAACGAAGGCTACACGTGCGGCATCAAGACAACAGTGTACGTTCGAGATTTACTATAACTGCACCCGGACGGACCAACCAATCACCCGACTGATGAATGGACCAAGTATTGCAATGCGAGAAACCACGCACGTAAATACCCGTGGGTGTATTGTCTCCTCTCCGTAAGTCGGCACCAACGTCAGCTGCAAAGCGCTACTTCTTGGCTGCTTTCTTCTTCTTCTTCGTATGCGTTTTCTTGTTGCCACCTTGATTCCCAGGTGCCGCCGTCTCTGCAAGCTGCGACGGGGAAGAGAGCAAGGCTGTCGTAGGTGCTGGCAGTGTCTTCATAGCGCCCAGAACCTCTTGCATGACAAAGCGTAGCAGTCGCGTCAGTCGGGACAAGTTGGTCATGTCCGACGTGACATACTTGACCGCCTCGTTTCGTTTTGCAGCATTCAACGGCGACGATGACGTAGATTTCGTATGCTGGTGCGACACGCGTGCTGTCACCTTGACGTTCCTAGTGGCCATCACGCGTGTCTTGAAGGAAAAGCGCGAGTGCAGTGGATCTCCCACAAACGCGAGCTTGGTCTGCTCTTCGAAGCGCTCCCAGACCACATTACCACTACTCGCCATGGTGGATCGGTCGACTGAAGAGCTCACTTGATCGGGGGAATAACGACTTGTGATTGGCGGTTTGGTTTTGGCTTGTGCAGGTTAGTAAGAGTGTAGCCATTGTTGCAATGTTCGATGATTGGTCGTGCAGCGTGCCGTGCTGACTGTATGGATACAGTTGTCACGCGTGACGAAATGATTATGCTCATGGAAGTTTGTGCAAACCGATCCATTGACCCGAAATGACAATTAAGTTACTAATTAGGATTATGATTGGACAGGTATAGCAAAGCTGTGGATGTTGACCGGAACGTGTGAATACGACGGTGTTGATGGTGCCCACGATTTGTTACGACGCGCAAGACACGAGTCAATTTGGTTCCTGACACATTGACGATGTACCTGCTGAGCTTCCGTAGTGATTCTAATGCGAACATGCAGCCAGTCGTGTGTGCGCGTGAAGTACACTTGCAAGAGCAAAGAAAACATGTGAGTTAGTGTTGTGAGTGTTGGCGCCATCTCAACGTCGCATGCACTGTAGGAGCATTGCATTTTTTGTTTTTTATGACAGCACGCTTCAATATCGATGAAGCCTGCTTTCTTTGGGCCGTCAAGTGATGATTTGAGAATATATCGCCAAGGTGCTTCATCTTTGGGGTAAATGATAAGGATGGAGAGCAGTTGATCTGGTAGGCTGTCTATACGGTTTTAGCTCGCCATGTTATGTGTCCATCCCTTCAAAAGCGAAGATCGTAATGTGTCGTGCAACTCGCTTCGTCATTTTTATGAGTAGCAGTTGCTAGGCACAGATATGCGTACAGAAATGTGTGAAAGCCTAAATATATAGCGTCACTTTTGAAACACATCACGCACAATTGCAGTACGACAAAGAATGTGCTTGTTAAAGCAAAGGCGAGTAAGCAAGATTAACAACTCATGATGGTAAGCGAACTCCAAACATAGGCGATTCGATAGCCGCAGCGCAGAGATTTGACGCACAGGATCTTATAAGCAAGCACGTATTCGATACGACAAACCTAATACGAGAAGGTGAGCTGCAAGTAGATATGTGGTTGGTATTCAGCATGTCGGTCTTAATGGAGGAGAAATGGCTATCAAGGAGGACTTCCAACACAATAAATCTTGACAGTCGGGGTTATGGTCAACCGCACCTGTGTAATTAGTCCAGAATTATACAAAATACGCTCAATGTGCAGACAACTCAATTGAGAATGTAGTTAAATAGTTTTGCTGATCATCGTTGGCAACTGGACAATAAGCAGAATTGACAAGAAGAAAGAGAGCGTTCCAAGAATGACAGTTGGCAAACACGATTCTCGCTGTAAACACCGAAACAGAATTTGGCCACATATGACGATTCAAGCAATGCAAAACCGGGAAAGCGCTGGGAGTAAGACTACACAGTCACGGCTGCCTCGTACATAGTGCACCTGGAAAGGAACTGGGTACCAAGATGTTCATGAACATCTACTTTAAGCCAATTCGAAGAAGTGGACGAAAAGGTAAACGTATGAACGCGATTGTGGCATGTATTGAGCAGTGTTTGCATAGCTCACTTTGTGGTTATAACGCAATCGCGTGACATTTTTAGTGCGGGCACCGCCAACAAGGCGGCGGTATGAATATCTGGGAAGTAGGCATCAGCAATCCCGGACTGTAGCAAGCAAACGAACCGGCATGTCGGCACGAAAATACAAAGAGCACCTGCTGTTTTGCCGTTTGAGCTGTCGTACCGAAATGTAATGGTCAGAAACTACTAGTAAGAGCCTTCAATCAGGGTAATAACCTCCTAACAACCACCGGAATCGTGCAAGAGTACCCATCGATGCGAACTAGGCTAAGGGTATGTATCAGTGATTCTGCAACGAATAAAAAGTAGTGGACACTTCTGTCTTGCTCGACTGTTCCTACATTACAAGAATTGTGAAGCTGCAGTCACAGCACCTAAGGCAATCCAACAAGCGTTGTCCTGCTCAACGACCAGCGGTCACCAATGAGTTAGTTATCGACTCTGAAATAAGCGACAAGCTCAGCACATGTGACCTAGTGAGCTAGTCAGACGATAGTCGGACAAACACAAGGCAACAATCCCATAACCACCCTACCCTCCTAATTAACCAACTACTCTCCGTCTCTTCCTCTCTTTAAACTGAATAACTTTCTGTCCGTTGGTTTTTCCCCGTCTTCCCAGACTCCATACTCGAACTCGTAACCGGACACTCCTTCTTTTTCCGGATCCTTCCCCTTCATCCAATCATCGCGCGTCCTGAGGTTCTATCTTCGCCAATCGTCGCGTCCCGACCTTTTCTACCAAGAAACGCCCCCCCTCCTCCTCCTCCTCTCCCCAGTCCGCTCACTTGTGAAATCTCCACCTAGTGAGCAAGAGCTCTTTGTGGTCTTTTCGAGCGCAGAGTGTTGGTCAGTGCAACCACCCACTCGGCCGCGTTCTACCACCCCCATCTTACCGTCTACCCTAGACGTCCCCCCTCCCCACTCTCTGTCAATTCGCCTTTGCCGTGAACCCACGCACCCGTGCTTCCGCCATGTCGTCCACCCAATTCTCGTACTCGAGCGCCCGTCTGCGTCGCGTCAAGTACCTCCAGTTCGGCGTCTTTAGCCCCGAAGAGATCCGCGCCATGTCCGTGACGAAACAGACGAAAGTCAACGACCGCCTCATTCCCGACGGCATCTCCCGCCCAGAAACGTACTTAAACGGACACCCTGTCATCGGCGGGATAGGGGACCCCCGCATGGGCACGTGCGACTTTCGCGCACGCTGTAAAACCTGCGACTGTACGTTGTTGCCAATGTACTGAGAGTAGGAGAAATTCTGCTGACGCGCTTTGTATCTTGTGTCTGTGTCTCTCTCTCTCTTTGTCTTGTTCTTGGTATAGGCACGTACAGTGGCAGTGGTGGCAAGGTGAATGACTGTCCAGGCCACTTTGGGCACATTGAGCTGGCCCGTCCCATGTTCCACATGGGGTTTATGAAGGAAGTGCTCAAGATCTTGCGGTCCGTGTGTTTCCACTGCTCCAAAGTGCTGAGCGACGAGCGGGACCATCGATTCCGCTCGGCTATGAAGATCAAGAATGGAAAGCGCCGGCTCAAGGCCGTGTACGAGTTTTGCAGTAACAAGAGCATGTGTGAATACGGCGAAGAGGCCGATATGGAGAAGATGCGCGAGGATTTGAACATTGGACTGCAAGGTGGACTTGACGACAAGTCGAAGCCAAAGGAAGGCGGCCATGGCGGCTGTGGCGGTCTTCAGCCAAAGTACCGTAAACAAGGTATTAAATTGATGGTCGAGTTTCCAGAGCAGATGGAAGACGTGCCGGGGTCAGGCGACCGCAAGCAGAACTTGCCGGCAGCAAAAGTGATGTCGATTTTCAAGAACATTTCAGACCATGACTGTTATGCACTTGGGTTAGACCCGCGCTGGGCTCGTCCAGACTGGCTTGTGATGACACTTATGCCGGTGCCGCCTCCACATGTTCGTCCTTCTGTGGCTATTGACGGCATGGCGCGCGGCGAGGACGACCTGACGCACAACTTGGCTTCGATTGTGAAGGCAAATTTGGCGCTGCTGAATTGCGTGCGGAAGGGCGAGCCATCACACATTATTGAGCAGTTTGAGCAACTGTTGCAGTTCCATTTGGCAACTTTTCTGAACAACGAACAGCCGGGTCTGCCGCAAGCACAGCAACGGTCTGGCAAGCCGCTGAAAACGCTGCGACAACGTTTGCGCGGTAAAGAAGGACGTATCCGCGGTAATTTGATGGGCAAGCGGGTAGACTTTTCGGCACGTACGGTTATTACCGCTGACCCGAATATTGCAATCGACCAAGTGGGCGTTCCTCGGTCCATCGCAATGAATTTGACTGTACCCGAACGAGTGACGCCGTTTAACATGAACTACATGCACCAACTGATTGCCAATGGTCCGCTGGAGCATCCAGGAGCAAAGTACATCATTCGTGAGGACGGTAATCGTATCGATTTGCGATACATAAAGAACAAGTCGGATCTCGCGCTGAAGTGCGGTTGGATCGTGGAGCGTCATCTTCGTGACGATGATCTCGTGCTTTTCAATCGTCAGCCTTCTTTGCACAAGATGTCGATCATGTCGCACCGCGTGAAGGTGTTCGACTGGTCGACGTTTCGTTTAAACCTTTCCGTGACGTCGCCTTACAACGCCGATTTTGACGGTGATGAGATGAATTTACACGTGCCTCAGTCAATGACTGCACGTGCTGATGCGCAAGAGTTGATGATGGTGCACAAGGTGATCATCACACCGCAGGGTAATCGTCCGGTTATGGGTATTGTACAAGATTCATTGCTGGGTGCGCAGAAGTTTACTAAGCGAGATATTTTTGTGAGCAAAGACTGGGTAATGAACATGCTGATGTGGGTGTCAAACTGGGACGGCAAGGTACCGACACCAGCGATTCTGGTTCCGAAGAAGGGAGAGCTGGGCAAGTACACTCCAATCTGGACAGGCAAGCAGCTGTTTTCTACAATCATCCCGGCGGTTAACTTTACCGGGTTTTCATCTACACATAAAAGCAGTGAGAAGTTTTCGGACTTGTCTCCTATCGATTCTCGCGTAATCATTCAACAGGGTGAGCTGTTAGCTGGTATCGTTGACAAGAAGATTATCGGTTCATCAGCAGGTGGTTTGATTCACATCACGATGCTCGAGAAGGGTCCTGAAGAAACGAAGCGCCTTCTTGGTGCCATTCAGCAACTTGTAAACTGCTGGCTGGCCGGTCGTAGTTTCACTGTCGGCGTGAGCGATACGATTGCTGATGTATCTACTCTTAAGACTATTGTCGATATCATTACGCAAGCCAAAGTGCAAGTGCACGATTTGGTAGTACGTGGACAAAAGGGAAAACTGGAGACGCAGCCTGGACGAACAATGGTCGAGTCATTTGAAGGTCTGGTGAACATCGTGTTGAACACTGCTCGTGACCAGGCCGGCCGCGAAGCACAGGGTAGTCTCGACGAGACGAACAACATTAAGGCTACGGTGACGTCCGGTTCGAAAGGTTCTTTCATCAACATTTCTCAGATTATTGCCTGTGTGGGTCAGCAAAATGTCGAGGGAAAGCGCATACCGTACGGTTTCAATCATCGCACGCTGCCGCACTATGGGAAGGATGATTTAGGACCTGAGAGTCGTGGCTTCGTGGAGAATTCCTACTTGAAGGGTTTGACACCACAGGAGTTCTTTTTCCACGCCATGGGTGGTCGTGAAGGTTTGATTGATACTGCTGTGAAGACCGCCGAGACCGGCTACATTCAGCGACGACTTGTAAAGGCAATGGAGTCGGTAATGACGAGATACGATGGCACAGTCCGTAATGCACAAGGCGAAATTATCCAGTTCCTGTACGGCGAGGACGGCATGGATGCCGTGTGGGTCGAGAAGCAAAGGTTTGAGTCGCACAAGTTGAACAAAGTTCAGTTTGAGAAGAAGTACGCCTTTGACCCGTCTGACGAGAACCTGGGCTGTATGCCAAACTGCCCTGATCAGCTGTACCTCGAACCTGATATTATCAAGGACATCCGGACCAATCAGCGAACACAACAACTTTTGAGAGAAGAGCAGGTGCAGCTACAGAAGGACCGCGTGAACCTTCGCGTCATTTTGGCAAGTCGTGGGCAGGGACAAGAGTCGGATAACGCCGCTCAGATTCCTGTGAACATCCGACGTCTTGTGGAAAATGCACAGCAGCTGTTCAGCATCGACGTTCGTAAGCCGTCTAGCCTTCACCCGTCCCGTATTATCGAGGGTGTGAAGGACTTGTGCAAAAAGATTATAGTTGTGCAGGGCGAGGATCAGCTGAGTGTTGAGGCCCAGGAGAACGCAACGCTATTCTTCCAGATCTTGTTGCGGTCAACCCTGGCGTCGAAATGCGTTACGCTTGAGCACCACCTCACAGAGACGGCGTTCGAGTGGCTCATGGGTGAGATCGAATCCAAATTTACGAGTGCGCTCGTGTCTGCCGGTGAAATGGCAGGTGTTGTCGGTGCGCAGTCCATTGGAGAACCGGCAACGCAGATGACACTGAACACGTTCCACTACGCCGGTGTGTCTGCTAAAAATGTGACACTTGGTGTACCTCGCCTGAAAGAAATCATGAACATTGCAAAGGAAGTACGGACTCCATCATTACGTATATTCTTGACACCAGATTGTGCACACGATGCTGATAAGGCAAAGTTTATCCAGTCGCAACTAGAATACACGACCTTGGCTGATGTGACAGCAAACACTTCCATTTACTACGATCCAGACCCGATGAATACGGTGGTCGAGGAGGACCAGGAGTTCGTGGCTTCGTATTACGAGATGCCTGACGAGGACACCCCGATCGCTCGCTCTCCCTGGCTTTTGCGTATCGAGTTGAACCCAAAGATGATGGCTGACAAGAAGTTGACGATGAGCGAAATTGCTTCCCAAGTTGAAGCAGAGTATGGCCAAGATCTTATGTGCATCTTCACGGACGACAACGCTGATCGTTTGGTGCTGCGCATCCGCATTATGAGCGATGAAGAGGAGAAGCTACAACGGTCAGGCGAGACTGCCGTTGGACAGGAAGACGACACGTTTCTGAAGCGCGTGGAGCACAACATGCTTACACAGATGAAGTTGCGTGGTATTGAGGGTGTGAAGAAGGTGTACATTCGTGAAGGACCGTCGACGCACTGGTTCGACGACGTGGGTTTTAAAATGATGAACGAGTGGATGCTGGACACGGATGGCACGAACCTTCTTGATGTGATGTGCTACCCACAAGTTGATTCCACCCGTACGATATCTAATGACATTGTAGAAATCATTCAGGTGCTGGGCATTGAGGCTGTTCGCCGAGCACTGTTGAACGAGATTCGTCAGGTGATTTCTTTCGATGGCGCGTATGTCAATTACCGGCATTTGGCGTGTCTATGTGATGTGATGACCTTCCGTGGCCACCTTATGGCCATCACTCGTCACGGCATTAACCGTGATGATTCTGGTCCGTTGGTCCGCTGTTCGTTTGAAGAGACGGTGGAAATTCTAATGGATGCCGCGATGTTTTCTGAGGGGGACCCGTTGACGGGTGTATCGGAGAACGTGATGCTCGGACAGTTGGCTCCACTCGGTACGGGTGTCATGGATTTGGTGCTCGACGCGAAGAAGCTTGCGAATGCGATTGAGTACGAGGCGTCAGAGATCCAGCAGGTGATGCAAGGACTCGACAACGAATGGAGAAGCCCCGACCAGGGCCCGGGCACACCTATGGCGACCCCGTTCGCATCGACACCCGGTTTTTCTGCATCATCCCCATTCAGTCCTGGTGGCGGCTCTTTTTCGCCAGCGGCTGGTGCTTTTTCGCCCATGGCAAGCCCGGCATCTCCTGGTTTTATGGTGGGCTCACCTGCACACAGTCCTGCGTCCCCGTTGAACCCGGCGTCGCCTGCTTACAGCCCGATGTCTCCAGCGTACAGCCCGACTTCTCCAGCGTACAGCCCCACATCGCCAGCGTACAGCCCGACGTCTCCTGCGTACTCACCGACATCCCCGGCGTACAGTCCGACGTCGCCAGCGTATTCACCGACCTCACCGGCGTACAGCCCTACGTCCCCGGCGTACAGTCCGACGTCTCCTGCTTATAGTCCGACGTCTCCCGCCTACAGTCCGACATCCCCGGCGTACTCACCGACGTCTCCTGCTTACAGCCCGACATCGCCTGCGTACTCGCCAACGTCGCCTGCTTATAGCCCGACGTCGCCTGCGTACAGTCCGACTTCACCTGCGTACAGTCCGACGTCTCCTGCGTACAGCCCCACGTCGCCTGCGTACAGCCCGACTTCTCCTGCATACAGTCCGACCAGCCCGGCTTACAGTCCCACCTCGCCGGCTTACACTCCCGCGTATTCGCCTACGTCTCCAGCGTACAGTCCGACATCACCGGCCTACTCACCGACATCGCCTGCGTATTCGCCAACGTCGCCAGCTTACTCGCCGACATCACCGGCGTACAGTCCGACGTCACCTGCTTATTCGCCGACATCTCCCGCGTACAGCCCGACGTCGCCTAGCTACAGTCCAGCGTCTCCTGAGTACAATCCGATGGAAGGCTACAACCCGACTGCTAGTGGCTATAGCCCGACCGATGCCGATGAGAAGAGGGATGGAGGTGATGCGTAGTGACCATGTCGAGTGCTCATGTCCAGCAAACAAGCAAGGAAGACATTACAGAAAAGCTGGGAGGAATGACTGAGTTGTAGGTTTCAATTAGAAGGCGGCGAACTCATGAACACGCGTCTGTCTACTTTTGATGTGATGCAGGTGTACGTATATTCGACGATAACGATATTCCAACAAAGAGCATTGATATTTCTGATGTCGTTGCTCCCTCACACTTGGCAACGGTGGATGCAGAGCAGCATACACAAGTCTCTTCGCATGCCTGGTTTGCACACGTTCAGTCACTATTCAGTGACCGCGATGAGGGCCATGAGTCCAATTCCAGCACACATGGCAGCCCCCTCTTTGAGCGACTGAGCGAGTGAGCAGTCTGACAATAGTTCCGGCATGACGCTAGCACACGCGATGTAAGTGAAGCCGCCCGCCGTAAACGGAGAGATCCACGCCGAGCTAGAATCGCCAGCACCTTCCACCAACAAACCAACGACCGTACCAATCATGGCTCCAACGGCAGTCAGTAGCTGCGTGGCCATCGCTTCACGTCGCGTGAAGCCCGACTGGATAAGGATGGCAAAGTCGCCAATCTCATGTGGCAGTTCGTGTAACAGCATCGCCACTGTTGTCGTCCAGCCATTACCGCGGACAAATGTCGCGCCAATCGCCAATCCGTCCGTGAAGTTATGCGAGAAATCTGCCGCCAAATTCAGATAAGCTGCAGCGGCAACCGGCTTCTTCTCCGGCTCCGATACAACCACTGTTTCGTCATCCGGCGCATCCGAATCATCCTTTCCTTCCTTGAACTGCGAGCGCTTTCGCGCCGTACTAGTCTTCCCCGACAATGCACATCCATCTTGAACAGACGCAGAAGAATGAGCGTGTCCGTGCGAGTGTCCGCCACCTCCACTGCTCTGTGCTCGTACAAACTTCTCCAGCATCAGGAAGCTCAGTATCCCAGCAAGCGTCCACAACCACACGTACAAATCAGCCACCGAATGGGAATGACCATGACCTTCGTGACCATGGTTATGATTATGGTTGTGGTCCTGATTATGGTCATGGTCATGGTTATGGTCATGGTTATGGTCATGGGTACTCCCATCTGCATGAGGAAGAGAGTGGGGGAGCAGATGAAGCAGCGCGTCGCCCAGCAATCCACCGGCTGCAAAGCTCAGAAACACGCGCAGTAGCGGCTGTTGCTTGTCGTGGCTCCCCATGCCCAGCGGCACTGCCAGCAGCACGAGCACCGGAGCTGTTCCCACTAGTGCCGTGGCCAGCAGCGCTTGGCTCCACACTCCGATCGAGAATCTTCCAGGTGTTTCATGCTTGATGATAGGTTCGTAGTCATGGTCATGGTCGTGGTCGTGATAGGTGGTACTGGGCACGTGTCCGTAGCGCTCGCTGGTCAAGACCGCAGGCGTCACTGGTAGCTCCTCATCTTCAGCGGTCGAGAGGAGCGATAGGCTCAGAATAGCGACGCAGAGCAGCAGCAAGTGGGGGCGACGTGGCCACTCGCTCATCTTCGAGGAAGTGCGGACGACCCTGCTGTTGGATTGGATGGAATTAGCGTCTGTTTCAGCCAATCACAATCGAATTTAACAATGGAAAGAGGGGGGCGTATTGCAATTATGACAATAGCAGAGAGCACATGGGGCGAGGAGTGAGGGCACGTCGTGTGCTTTTTGTCGTCAATGTCGCCCTGAGTGTTCTTATAGACTCAAGTTTTATTGCGAGTTCTGTCTGCATCGCTACTGTCTAGAGGTCATTGTTGATTTGACACTTTTCATTGAGCGGTGGCTGTACGCATTGCTGGGAATCGTTCCGTACCGCTTCTTTCTTTGTGCGATATCATCGTAGCGGCTCTGTCCAATCACTAGACACAAGTGCAGACAGACGTGCCGATTCGCTGAGTGATATCCTCTTGTCGCCTCATGGCGTATCTGACTAAGATGCGTGTCTCTTGCAGGCGTGACCACTCTGACACAGGCTTTGTTGCACGCATATGCGATATCTCAAACATGTCGAACTACCCTTCAGCTCGTTGACCAATTTGACTCGATACCGATCACCTGTGTGAGGCAAAGGAATGGCGTCTCCTCGGGAGCAAGCCCCTGATCGACGTTGAGAAGACGTTCTTTACCGGTGGTGTATGCAACACGTCTGCGCACAATATCGATCGAATGCTCCATCATGATGGACCAGTATCATGATATTGAGAACCTTACGAGCAGTCGCAGGTGTTGCAGTGGGAGGATCCCTCCGTGCAGAGCTCTGAACTTTCATTACTTCCCTCCTGCTTTTCGGGAAGCACATCTCGAGATATCGCGAAACTGTTGCAATCGAGACTTCCAGTTTCTTTGCGTCCAGAGCATGTTGAGGACCGACGGCGTAGAAACCTGACAGCCGCCATTGCCAGGGAATCCAGGACGAGACAAACGTGTCCATCTGGCTGGATCTTGCCGTAAAAGACTCAGCCTTAGAGCTAGAGTCCCAACGCCGCTTGTCAATACATGCTCAACTAATTTGTCATCCCGGAGCTCAACTTTCACATCAAGCGCCAGCTCACCACAACGCACAGATGCACGTAATCGCGAGCCCGAAGGGTAAGGCTATTAGGGAGTGTGCGCAAGGTTGAATGCCGACATACATAACCGTACGTATGCGTCCGTGTGTGTCTGTGAATAACACAGTTAGGTGCACCTTGCACGAATGAAGTGCGGGCCTCAGACTCCTCCTTCAGAGACTGCTGCTGTTGTATAGTGTCTTTCAACTTGATTCAGGTCGATCAACTGGACTACTGATACCAAAGGGCGAGCTCCAGAGCTTGCTCGTCTATCTCATTCATACACGGCGACTGCGTCTTAGCTTCCTTTTTCTAGGGATAGTACGGGTCGTCTATCGCACACCTCGATCAGTTTCGAAGGAGCTGTTCCTTCACAAGAATTGCATACCTGTAGATACCTGCTTCTGCAGTAGAAAGCGTCGCTCCACTGAGATTGGATGTTGCTACCCGGGTCCCCTACCTACAGTCCACCATCTCATCATGTGCCAATGAATCCACCTCCGTCGGCATTTACCAGTCAAGTCCAAATGGCTGGCCATTACGAGATGATGAAGTCGAAAGAGCGCCACTGCACGAGCTCCACCAGTCATTGTCCCATTCATTGTCAAGCGCAGCGATCGCATTTCGCACCCGAAAGATCCGGTTCACTCGACTTCACTCACCTGCAGTGGCGATGGCCGGTCCAGACTCAACTAGTCTGCATGTCAGTGGTATTACCACAGTGCCCATCTCGGTCTGCATCCCGACACTTCAGCGACGACGACGACGACGACAGCTGTCTGCTGCTCCCTCACATCAGGTCTCGAGCGAGCACTGCCCGGTCGAATGAGCTCATCATTTCTTGATTAGCCGCAGGAGCGCCAGGAGCGTAACGAGATACACGCGCACTCTCTAGCACTCCGCCCTACTTTGCGGGTTCAACTCTGCCTCTGCCATCATGATGTCACTGCTCGCCCAACCGCTGTCGCCTCGGACCAGTAGTACCCTCCTCTACGATGTCTATGACAGCGTCGTCGGCACGTCGCAGACTTCATCGACGTCAACAACCGTCATGGATCGACCTTTTGTGTGCGAGGAGCCTGGCTGCGGTCGTCGCTTTAACCGCAAGTTCACGCTCACTGAGCACAAGAAAACGCACACAGGCGAGAAGCCTTACGTGTGTCCGCTGGTCGAGTGCAGCCGGCGCTTCAGCACGTCGGGCAACCTGGCGCGCCACAAGCGCCTCCACGCCTCGCTCAAGCCTTTCGAGTGCGACATCAATGGCTGCAAGCGGTCGTTTCCCAGCCAGGAGAAACTCGAGCACCATATGAAGATCCACACGGGACGACTGACGCACATGTGCAGTGCATTGGGCTGTACCAAGACGTTTAGTACGGCTGGGAACCTCACGCGTCACGTGAAAACCCGTCACCCCGAGCTCGTTCGACAACCTTCTTCCTCGCTGCCCCGCCACCCTCGTCCCGCGTATCACCATCGCCCCGTGGCGCATCACATTCGGATCCCTTCGCCTCATCTGACGACGACCATTGAGCTTTCGAAAAGACTCGGGGCTCCGATCCCTCCCGTCTATTCACCCGACTCGGTCGAGTTGTCGTCGTTCCACGACGAGATGGCGGCGTTTCACACGACGGATGGACCGCCGTTCGAGGTTTTGATGGCGAGGCCGCGGGAGATGGACCCGAGGATGGTCGCGTTGGATCCGACCGTGGGGGACGTCAACCGCTGTAGCATGAGCGTACTAGACGAGCTAATTGAGTTCGAACTCACGAAGAATGTCTGAGAGAAGTGGCCGTGTGTAGTAGATCTCTAGTTAAGTAAAAGTTGTGCTCACTGTGGCGCATTCGCTGTCACGTCTCTTTGGATCGGCGATCGACCTCATCTCTTGTTCGTCATGCTGCTCGCTACTAATGCTGTCTCCCGACCAGCTAAGTTGACTGAACAGTATAGTGACACGGAAGTCTCTAGCAACTCTAACGTCATGGATCGCAAGAGCTGATGTGGGACAGATCCAACTAAGAGGCGGCCAGTCCCGTTTCAACCAAGTTGCTGCATTCGCCCTCTGCTTTATCACCGTGAAGCAGAAACACCGTCGGTATTGCACCGATGTCATTGAGATCGATTTTACATTACTGGAACCTGCAGGGCGTGATGTTCCAAGGCGTATTAGCATTTGAGCTGACAAGCTCTTTCTGCGTACAGCCTGATGTGATCCCGCTCTTTTCCTTGACTTCAAGCTGCTTCTGGAGCTGGCAGGTTTCGTCGTGGTGACTTTCTTCAACGCTTACGGCGCAGTTGACGTAGCTGTGGGATACGACCGAGTCGGATGTTTTAGATCGTCTGGTCATGACCACAACATCTGGAGCAGGAGCTCCTGGCTCTAGACATTACACAAGTGAAGTGATACAGTCCCTTCTCTCTCGACGACTGGCTGAACATAAACAATGACATGGAGTCCGTCGACACTAATTGTCTCAGACCTGCCCTGGTAGGAAGCTCAAGCGCTAGGTGACCAACAGAATAGGCACATGCATAACACACCTTTGAGTTGATCTCGCCTACAGTAACTACACACGCGTCCTGCGTGGTGTCAGACGAGGTGGTTGCTACGAAATAAAGCGTCTGCAAGGTCATAGGGTGTTGGATTTACAAGCAGAGAGGCCATGGAGTACGCCTTTCCGGCAAATGTAGCGAGCTACTTGCAGGAACGCCGTGGGTGTGTTAATCAAGGAGCGGACGTGGTTTTGTCGGACCGAATCTCGCGCTCGCATTGATAGAGTCGGATTGCCATTTAAGCCCGATGCCACAGATTGTAGGTGCTTGCAGCGCTGATGCGGTAGCTGGCCAAATAAAAGATGGTGGAGTAAAATGCGAGCATGCGCACGTAAGTTCGATGTGGATAAGTAAAATGAGTCTACACGGAGTGTACTATTGCCATTGTTGTAGTCTGTGGTGTGGTCATTAGACAAGGATGCCGTGAATCGGCTGGCGCGCGCACCGTTTTACAACTCACGACAAAGTTGCTACATTGTTGTGACGTGTGCTTTCGATGGACTGTGCTGTGTTACATTCTACAAAGTGCTCTATGAACGCTTTCGCCCTATTACTTGATACCCCCAACTAGTAAAGATGCTCAATCGCATCGAATGAATTTGCACCCAGGATCTAGTGTAGCATCTAGAAGAAACAGGGTAAATTCACCCATTGAGCAGTATTTTGTGCATCTCTCGACGATAGGTGGTCCCTTTGTTCTTGTCGCTGGGTATGAATTTTATGTATGCACGGCCACCGACCTATCTCCGCTCAACTGCCAGATGTCCAATAATCAAGTCCGGATAATGGTCTTCCACTACGAATGAGTCGATAAAGCCACTCTAAGCAATTGTGACGAATAATGATCCCATAATCGGTCATCTACTGTGTCGTGAGTACTTGCTTTGTGCTTGCAATTGTTGATGTATCTTCATGATTCGATCCTTTCTTTTTACCATTGTTGATAGCTGGACACCTCGATTGGTATACGCTACGGTGACGACCCTGTCATCATATCAGGCGACTACGATCACATGCAGTGGGTCCGAGAAGGTAGAGTAAAATGAAGACATCATTCCACGCATGGGCAGCGGGGAAGTGGACGATTTAAACGTATATGCATATGAAGAGATGGGCGATTTTCTGAACGAGCTGCAATGGAGAACCTGATACTGGAAGGCAACGCCGATGATGCTAGAGACTACAATACAAGCGACGACTACAAAAACAACAACCGGTAGAATGCATGTACGCTTGCAATCGCTAGTTGTATACACTAAGTTCGTGTCGAATTAATGCGATCTTTTACAGCCATTAATCACCAACGATTAACACTGGAGGTGTGACAAGAGCAATTACCTGATGCACTTAGCTTTTTCAAGTATCACATATACGTTGTTCTTTTGTTCCGACTACTTCATTGTTAGGCGTGAGTAAATTGCATTCTCATACATGTGGCAGGTGGATACATTGACGGGCTAGCAACAACTAGAACAATGAAGACACGTTCGAGGCAACATGTTTGCCAGTATGATCGTTCATCATAATTATCTGAGAAAAATAAAATTTTTGCAATACTACGGAAAAAAACCACAAGGTGACGAAAACATAAATATGTTAAGGCGTATACTATACGTAAGGCATGACTGAATCGAGTGCCGACCGTGACTCCAGGCCAAATGTTGATCATTTGTTTCGTGTCGAATGATATAAACAAGCACGCCGAAACGACAAATCTCATTTTTCGCTTGTGACAAGGCTCTCCTCAGCAGCTTTCGCGAGGATGGCCAAGTTCTGCAACGCCAGAGAACATTGACATTGACATGGATGCCGTACATCGTATTTTTGAATTTGACGCTGACACGTAAAGTAGCTACTCTGACGATGTACTCTTATCCATATTCTGTACCCTGATACGTATTTATGCCGTGTGCATGGCTTCGTATTCTTTGGTTGGTCTATCTCCCTTCCAGCTGTCGTTCAGTCGAATCAAGTGCCAACTCAGTTTTTGGGTAGCAAAAGTGCTTGTGGGTTGCTCGAGGAATTGTCCCGTCGTCCATTACCCAGACGTATTTTTGTAAGCAGATTGTCATTTTTGACGACTCAATCGCTGTAAAATCACAACAACAAGACGATATCGGAAGGATAGGTTCCCGGGACAAGGCCGTCACTGTTTTCTGCATGCACATCTAGACTAGCTATCACTTTACTAATGCAATTGTTTGTTCGGGTCACACAAAATAGTATATGGTAAATAAAATGAGAACCCTGTTCGACTTTTTTTCACGCAATATGCAGGTCAAAAAGATGATTCCGTCGTAGATCTTGGCGTTCGGGCGAAAACCCTGTCACTAGCAAAATTGACATCCGTCTTTTTGTGTGCTTGTCGGTCATTTAACATTACACGCAATTGATCAAAACTTTGCTTTGGAAGGCTCAAGATTTTGTCATTCAAAACGTACAGTATGCGCCTTGGTATCAGTTTTTATTTTCGTTTTATAAAAAAATTTCAACTGCTGCATTGCTTCTGTATTAGAAGGTATACTTTTAATTTTCCGCATTTATTTTCGCTTATAATCGATATCTTGCCAGCCTTTTAAAAATGTGAGCGACTTTCAGAGCGGTTTATTATGATGTCAGTAAGGCTTCCACCTTTGTCGCTTACGGCTGGTTGTATTTGCTGTACATATACTACTTATTGAAGCAGTCACATATGTGTACCTACTGTAAAAAAGGTGTGTTTGTAGTTGCACTCTTGCAAAGGTAGTAGAAAGTGGAAATGTGAAATAAACTGATTGGCAACTACTTTCGTTCACTCCATAAACCACGTGATCTTACTGTATTGAAACTTGACCAAGTCAAGTTATATTTATGGTTCGTCCAGTCCGCGTGTCTTACATGCTAGTTCCACATATCGACGTCTTTCCCGGTCCCATCCCCGATTACCCCCCTCCGGCTTCAAAATCCCGGTATGAACAGCCGTGACGGACACGCCCCATTCGAGGAAGTTGTCGGCCCAAGCCACCAGTTCAGACTCCCCCGCCTCAGCTGAAGGTCAGTAGCGGGGGTTATCACGTACTTAAGGAGGAGGAAACTGGAGTGGATGGTCTGTCTCTCGCACCTGAAAGCAGTGTCGCCTCTGCACCTCCTCAGCCGGAGACTGGTTGCTCCCCGGCTCCTGCTTCTTCGGCACAGCGTACCAACCCCCGGCTGCTGCTGGAGAATCTGGCTCGGAAACAAGCAGCCAGCATCCGGAGCCTGGCGGTAGTCACCGCGGGACCGGCTCTCCTGAACCAGCAGCGATGGGAACGGCTGACTTGCGAACGGCTTTAAAAGCTGATGCCGGGAAGGCAACAACCAAATTTGCCTACTATTCCGTAGGGAATTTGGAGGAGAATCCGGTTTAGTCATTACTAGGCCGTCTAGAGAACACCGTTCAACAGGTCACGGGGAGACCCGGTCAGCATGGAACTTGCCTAGTTAATGCTGAGGTCGGGGAAGCGCTGAAGGACCCACACCCTCCGGATCCCGGAGGGGTGGGCCAGTCTGCAGCTCTCACAGTACAGCGGGTGGAGGAAGAGAGTTCCCAACCCTCCCTCGATCTACATCAGTGTGGACCACACACTCATGCTCGGGCCACTCAATTTGAGAATGGAGGGGGCGGGACCCAGCCAGGCATGACGTTACGTGCGACGGGAAAGGGCAGTTGGGGGCGGGATTTCGGCTTGGAGCGGGCAAGACGTATGGGCGGGGGCGAATGTGTGGATGGATCTAGTCCGGACCACCATGGGTCATCCCCCACTTCTTCGTCGAGGGCTGCGGGTGCGCTTAATCCGTCGGGGCGCTTGCAGCGTTCAGCACGCGTCGCTTCATCTACCAGCGATTCCAATACTGCACGGGGCAGGGCGGCAGCTGAGATTCCGGTGGGGAGGTTGGACCACTCTTTGCACTCCCCCGCCCCGACTGGTACGGATGTAGTTTTTGGGAAACTCAGCGGGGGCGGCCGGTTCCGAACGAGGATTCTGCAGAAGTAAAGGTTAAGCCTCCTCCCACTATGAGCGCTGAAGAGATATTTCGGGCTGTCACGACAGAATTACGAGCCTCGCCGGAGGCGGAGCAACGCGATTCCTGGAAGTCGACTGTAGTGGCTTTATTTGCTGACGTGTTCGAGTCTGTAAAGGTCAATCCTGATCGTGTGCCGCCGGCTAAGAAACGCTATCCGCTACTGAAGGGAGTGGAGCCAGCGCTTCTCCTCATTTTTTTTGAGCAAGTGAGTGTCGTGGATAGCTGTACCTTCGAGCAATGGTGCGGGTACGCGCGGACAATAAGTCGAGACTTGTATAATACGACGTGATCGCTGTCGACCATTTTAGCGAGCATGACCAGCAAGGTCAAATGGGCACGTAAACCTGTTATGAACCAATGGGCTGCAACGGTAGCCGGGCGGGCTGCACCAGCCAGATCGGACGAGACTCTCCCTGCTCGAGAAAATTACCAGCAGTATATGTTCAATCCGGAAAAGTATGCTGCGGCTACCGTTGCTCGGCTCCGTTCACTGTGTGAAGCGCAGGACACGCGCTCCACGGGTACCCGGCTTCGGGATGGTACGCATGAAGAGTGGAAAATTATTCAGGGACTGGCGAAGGGTCACATTGTGAGCCGCTCATGACCACACTTTATCAAGAAAGTGTTAAATGCGAAAGATCGATTGAGACTCCAGTCGACCATTCAGCTGCAAGTCGAAGGGTAACTATCATTCTCATTGGCTGGGCAAGGAGCAATTCCATCCAGTCGACAGCATACCCAGGCACTATGGGAATACATACTGCTGGCGGCCGAAGGGTTGAAGGTGAATCTACAGGCACTGCACACCATGCTCAGTCAGGCGAAGACAATCGGTTACAACACGGTTCAGAAGTCGATTAACATTCACTTTTTTCGGCGAGCTACGGCGACAAAATTTCAGAACACACTCGTGCCGTTCCGTCGGAAAATCTACCGCCTCCACAATCGGCACGCACCTACTTCTGTTCCAGTGTGGTATCGCCAAGTCGGAGCCGATGGTACTCGCCTCACGATGCAGACTGAGTATGTCATTCTACTCTATAATGTTACGCGCTAAATGGACATTGGACGCTTTACAGCATTCTTGACGGCCCACAATAGTCCTGAATTTGATCTGGAACCTTTGGACACGTGCACACCGGACTCTAGGACATCAACGCTGTGGCGGCTGATGATCCGATTAGCAGGCTGCCCCGATTTCTACGTGATGTGGTGCGCCTACTATGGTTTGGTAAAGTAATTGTTCTCAAACACCCCGAAGTGGGGAAGAGACTGCAATGTCTACGGTGCGGGAACATAGGCCATACTATGGCAAGGTGTGGATTTTCGACGGAGCAGCTGCGTGGCCCCGGCAGTATTGTGGCTTCCGAGGTAGAGGTGTCGCAGCTGGAGGATCTGGCTGTTCCTTTCCGTAGCTTTGCCGAGATGCGCGACATCGCGGCCCAGCGTATACGCCTTCAAGACCAAGCGGATACGGTCTCCGCACAGGCAGTCCATCCCCCTTCTGTTGAGGTGCCCACGCTTGCCGTGGACCGCGTCAACTCCAACGGTCGTGATGGTAGTATCGTGGCGTCGCCCGGAATTGGTAATTTAAAACCGCCCAACCTGACCAGTCTGGACAAACACCACTTGCGCAGCCCAAACCTAAGCCTAGACCATAATGGGTGACAGTCTCTATTCCTCAGGGACGGAAGGCATTAAGTGCTACGAAGACGTTATCTAGCCGGCGTGCATTTTTGTCATCGCGGTATGCCGTACTGGCCGACCAACATGAGGTCGACGTCGAAGAGGACGAGGCGGTTGCTTCTGCACCTTTTTCTGCTCTCGAAGAGCCGGATACGAGCGGTGCAGGAGCGCTCGCGGCCGTACGACACTCTGACAAGGCCACGGATTCTACGGTCCAGCTTCGGCTGATAAAGAAAACACCACAGAAGCTTCCACTGACGCCTCAATTAGTGGCGCTAAAACAGAAGGAACGGACCGAGCTTCTCAGGAATATCGCTCAAGTGGAGGGTTACTGTGGATCTCGTGTATTGCCGCGCCTGCCGGATGGTGTTGATATGGGGTCCGGGTCGTACGATATTATCCAACAGCAGTTGGATATTCTGCCTGTATAGACTCCGGCGAACGGGAATTGTTTGGCTATGGCACTGGTCCAGGCGCTCGCTAACAACGATTTGCGCCACCGAGATAAGATCCTCCTCTTCGCTACATCTAGCTTAAAAGAGGCATTTAATACACGGGACAGATGCACATGTTGGATCAATTTAACTACCAAGCCCGAGTGACCACTTAGGTGAACGTTGCCAGAGGCTAGATTGATATGCCGAGGAGTGAAGCTACAAAACAGTTTAAATGGTACCTCGTAGAATACGCGTCCAGTCTCACTGACCCGACTACAATGTTGGACCGATACTATTGGGGAGGCTGTGAGACGCTGACTATGGCAGCGAACTTCCTTCAACAAACAATCTATGTTTTTTGTCAAGCGACTGATGGGTCGCAGTGTTGGCACTGTGGGTTTTATCGGCCTAATTCAATGACCAAGGCACGTCGGGTTATTGAAACGGGAGAGCAAATTATTATCACCGTTCAAGAGTGTGTTGAGAAGATAAGGGCAGTCAAAGGTGAAAGGTCAAGCCCACCACCGTTGATCCTTAAGTACGAGGATGGCCACTACTCTGCCTTTGTCCACCGGCTGCCGACTTTGGACAAGGCTACGGGGGATGAGCGCAACGTCGACCGTGGTGGTTCTTCCGGTGAAGATAATAGTGATATCGGAAGTGATAAGGAAATGAAGGAATCAGCGGAGCCGATCGAGGCGACCGGCCAATATGACGATTTTGAGCGGAATGAGGCCGTTCGAGCCGCGATTTCCGCCCCGCCGTAACCACTTCAGCAGTCACATGTACCACGCACCTCAACCAGCGCTGACCCGGCGGCTGGAAGGGGCGTTATAGGGAGTATCACAGCTCTGGTGTTGCGGGTATCTCCAAGAGCATCTCAATCGAGCGCTCCTACAACGAGGACTCATGTCTTGGCACCAGGTGAACGCGAAAAGAAGGCTGTGATTGTTTGAAACAAGCCACTGCTCTGGTAATAAAAAAGGCAGCAGCAACAACGACAGGCTGCTCCTCGAAGCAGGTCCGGCCAAGGTATTGCAACTCGAGAGCAGCAAGACGTGGCAGGAAATGTGGCTAGATTTAGCGTCGGAATGGCCAAAGCAGTCGAAGGTCGTTTTTCCCACAGTTTACAGTTCGCCTGCGCAGTGGTTTCAAGCGGCGAAAGTGGAATCGAGACTCCTTCTCCGGATGATTCAACGATTTCCGCAAAAAAGTGCATTATTGACGATCTTGAGTGATGAAACCGTACAGACATGGATCGCGACCTGGCGACAAGAGTGCATGTACTCCTGTTTAATGGCTTACCGCAGCCGTTCAACAGATACAGATACTCAGATCTGGCTTGACGATTGGAAGGGGCGGACGTCACGGCGCTTAGCGGGTTTCATGCTGTTCCTCTAATTGACAATAGTGATGACTGGCGCCGTATACGTGACAGGGGCTGTGCCAGCGATGAATCATTACGCCGTTGCGATGTGCATCACAAGACGCAGTTAGCGCGTCACATTTTATGTGTGCTGATCTATCACGACGAAATTATAGCACTAACGGGCAGCGACGAGGAGCCTGATAACGGCGTTACGACGCGGTTGCGACGGCATTTTGCCAGGCTGAAGAGTAATAAACCGTATCGGGAGGCATACGCATCCATGGTCGCCTCTGCGGACTGGTCGATATTAGAGACGTTTTATGAGCAAGCGCTCGCCCAGATGAGTCCGCAGCGGACTCTTCACTACTAAGGGCATCCACCACCGTCAACGCCAAGCTCGCCGGCATCTACTGCTAGCTAGTGCCCCGGCGGACGTTGATGTCTATGGCACACACTATCGCCTCAAAGGCGGTTTTATGGGCCAAACGGTCACCCATGATGTCATTTGTCGAAGTAAGCGGGTGGTGTGTGTCGACACACAAAATGTCCGCGGTTTCAAGGACACGACTAGTGATCGGTGGATGGAGCCCTCTATCTTACTGGAGTGTCGGGAATGGAAAAAGCGGAGGGGTGGCTTTCTTACTGGATCCTAGCCTTGCTTCAGATGCAACTCCTTGGCACCCAGAACTTTGGACGGAACGCGTGGCAGGTTTGATGCTAGCGAGGGTCTTGTTAGCTAACATATATGCCCCTAATACCCCCAACGAGCGCGAAGAATTTTTCTCCCGGCTGCTGCACTGGCCATGGCCGTCATTCGCAGTAGTCCTGGCGGGAGACTTTAACTCTGTTCAAAGTCCAGTATTGGATCGGCTCGGGGGTCGCAGGTCGGGGCGCCCGGAAAGTGCAGCGCTTGCTGACCTCATCAACAGGTTGGGACTCACCGATGCGCGCATTATAGCGGCACCACTCGACGATGTGGATACTCCCGACCCAACTGAATATTTTACTTACTGGACTCAATCCACAGCAAGCAGAATTGAAAAGTTTTACGTTCCGCACCAGTGGACATCGAGGGTGCAATGGGTTGTGGTTTCAGCTCCTCCTGTCAACTCTGATCATCAGCAGGTTTCGCTCCTACTAACGCAGAGTATGTGGAATATTCCGATCACTAAAAAGAGGCGCGTGGTCACTTACCCCATTAAATTTTCCCAAGCGACGAGAGTCAAGGCGGATTTATTGGCGGAGATGATTAATAACGAAGTAGGGCGGTCAGTCACAGCGAGTACCTGGGACCACATGACCACCACGTGCGTCGCGGCGATTTGGACCATCCGGAAGCAACATAAACAGCGTAGTACACGGTATGCTGACCGATTACAAGCTCAAGAGCGTGCCGGACTCTATTACAGAAAGCAGCATATCCAAGCCAATCAGGACTCTTTACGAGCTGAATATTTAATTGCGGCGGGGGATCGACTGGAGCGAACGACTGATCGACTGCGGTGGAATTTTAAGCGGGTCTCCGACTGGGAGGCGGATCAGACGGTAACTGGCTATCGACATCTTCACGGGGTACCATTTGTCCGTCAAGCCTGTACTGCTGACCGCTTTGCGACGGAATGGCAGCCTATTTTTGGGTGCAGTCATAACACTATCCCAACTAGCTCACTGGACCACGCATTTACGGCTTTTGTGCGGATGCCAGCGGACCGACACATTACACAATCGGACAATTATCACCTTGTCCAACAATTTCAATTACCTGAGATGATCGCGGCTTTTGCTGGTCTAATCAGACACAAAGCGGCGGGGCCGGATGGTCTTAATAATGATTTCTATATCGACAACCAAGCTCTGTTAGCACTGGTCATGGTAATAATTGGTAACGAACTTCTGGCAGGTAAAGAAAGACCCACCTTCATCATTTCTGGATGGACTCATCATCACACTTCGTAAGAAAGGTGACTCCGCCGATGCCATGAATTATCGGCCGATTTCTTTGCTACGTACAGGGTACAAGCTCTTTGCAAAAGTCTTGGCTACACGAATGCAACGCGTTCTGACGAAACCAATAAGCGATGCACAGCAAGGATTCGTCCATGATCGCCACATGATGAAAACAGTGATGATGATGTTGGCAGTCTAAGCTACTGCCCAGAATGAACAAGATGTCACCGCGCAGGATAGCCGGGTAATTTCATTATTAGATTTCCGAAAGGCGTACGACACGGTCGCTCGCGATTTTCTATTTCTTGTTCTGGACCGCTTTGGGTTCTCGCCGGCCTTCGTTTCGATGATCCGCAAGCGTCATGACAACACGACAGCACGATTTCTGGTCAATGGTCAATAATCTGATTCCACGGAGCTCAACACGGGAATTCGTCAGGGCTGCCCTCTCGCGCCGTTATTATTTATATTAGCGGTGGAGGTCTTAACACTAGCGATTACACAGTATCCCGGCCTTACGGGAGTCATGGTGCCCGGGTCGTCATCAGAGCGTCATGTTTTTTCAGCGTTTGTAGATGATTCGACGGTCTTCCTTCAGGAAGCCCGACAGCTTCCACGAGTGCTCGACCTCGTGGCTACTTTTGGGAAGTTTTCAGGTCTTACAGTACAGCCATCCAAAAGTCAAGTGATCTTCTTGAACACGACGGTGTCAGTTACCAGCTATGAAGGTATACCTGTTTTACAATCGGGTGCCACGCCTCGGGCACCAAGTCGGAACTGGTGATCTGGCAGACGCCAATTGGGCTGTCCGGATACGAACGGTGCAGAGGCGGCTTGCTACGGCGACCCGTCTGGCGACTAGTGTGACGTTCCGGGCGCAGATTCTGAATGCCATTCTGTTGCCTGGAATACTATTCACTACGGCAGTGTTTGACACGCCTGCTTGGGCGGCCCAAGAGCTCCGTAATCTCCAGAGACAATTTCTCTGGCGTCACTCGTTGTCAACGGAAACAAGTCGGCACAAAGTCAATCCGGGACTATTTTACACGCCGCGAGCAGCGGGCGGCATTGGATTAATCTCGATTCCAGTGGCGGTGAAAGCGCAACGCATTAAACATGCACTTCTGTGGTTGACACAGCGGTCCGATCGGTACGCAGTGGCCTGATAACATTGGGCATTTCGGGGATCTCTTTCACAAGGTGAGCCGATCATTACACCGAGAGACCCGGGGCCTTCCCAACACACGAAACACCATATCCCATGGTCTGAATTAAGGGTCGAGTTAGGGACATGGCTTCACCCGCAACCCTTAGAGCTTTCCGTCCTAATGGACCATCATGCCACACAAATGCCACTCCTCATCGCTTAGACGTTAGGCTGGCGAGACGGGGATCGGCTGACAATTTCGTTGAATGCCCCGTTGCATCCGCCACCCTGTCCATTTCCAGCCGAAACACGACGTTTTTGGCCAACCTTCCAGTGGGCGGACAATCTCTGAATACGGGATGGTACCGGAAACAAACTGACACAGCGCAAATATGATCGAATTCGGTCATGTGCGCTGGCCGACTTGGAAATCGAGCGGACGGGACCTGGCGTGTACCCGTTTAGAGTCCCTTTGTCTCCAGGGGCGCCGGCTCATCACTCGGATCGGAAACTAATGCGCTGGGCGCTCGCGATTGTTTTCGGTAGCCCGACGTTACGCATAGCTGAGAAATGCGAGGTGCAGTGTGCAGTTACCCTCCGGCAGCAGCCGGAGCCCAGGGTGCCGTATAGCTGGTTCGTGATGGATGACGGGACAGTGCACGGGGTGTCGACCCTATCAACGGGTCTCACACAGGGGACAATAGTCCTGCATCGGCAGCCAGACGGCTTCCACTGGACGATAGCCGAGACGTCGGTAACCTACTCGGACGGCTGGTCGGATAAAGGTCCTCCACCAAGCGCAACGGGACAATGGCCTCGTCGTAGCGGCACATCCCCCATCCACGGTTTTTCTTGGGTAGTTCCTGACGCTATATCGAATCGTCAAGCGCTATGTCATCTGAAAAGACAACCCTACCAGCGGGTTAAAGGGGACCTTGGAAAAGGGCTCAATGGTGTTCTCCTCCGGTTACAGCCATCGGCGGAACGCAACGAAAGATACTGTGCGGCCCTCAATCAGACACCGAGAGAGTTGTGGCGCCACCGCAACGCGATCACCGAGTATCAAGTATGGGTTTACTACCGAATGGCGCTGCATCAGCTCAATTTATATATCCCAGGTCGGGAGCTAAATAACTGCTGTCGAAAACTTTCGGTCTGTCACGGACAGAGAGAGACTCTGGATCACATCTTTTGGGGTTGTCCAGTAGCCCAGGGCTTCTGGCAGGCACTCATTACCTACTGGAATGGATGCTCGGGGATGCCGGTCAGCGTGCAGCATTATGCGAGTTTTTGCATGTCACGAAAGTCCCCGCCGTTACATCCGATCATTTCTCGGCGGCTGCTGAGCGCGTTTGGACATTCGATGGAGGCATATGTACGTCAATGGAAGCGGATGTGGTGGGTATTCTGTTCTATATGTATCACGACGTTATGGGTGCTACGTAATCGGGTCGTTCACGAAGGGCATTCCGTCACTTTGGCGGGATGTATCCACGAATGCACAGTTTCAAGTTTCGGCAATTACACGCGCTAGCGCTGCGAGAGCGTAGACAGCTACACACCCAGGTGGCCGGGATTCGTCTGATGCAATGCATTGGACTGCTCACCATGGCCCCATCTAGAGCACCGCACACAGCGGTGAGTCACGTACAACCACCGGATTATCCGACACCGGCGTCGCTATCCTGGCTTAGGTCTTTCCAGACGTCTTGTACACCATAATATCGTATAATAGACGGTCTGTTCCCCTCTCCTAATGCCGGAAAGGCAATGCCATTTATTACGTATGGATTGGAAGCCGACACTGCAACCCAATCACATATTTGAACTTGTGCGCATTATAGGACTTCGGGAAACTAGCACCCCAGCGAACAGCAATTTTTTTAGCAATAGCTCTTGCATAAGTGGTCGCTCAGTCTGCATAGGCCGCTCCTTCCAAGGACCAGGAGCTTCTCGCGGCGTGCGTATAACAGGAATCGCGTGTTCAGGGCTGCTGAACTTGGCGGATCATCTCCCTCACGGTCTAGGTGTGCAGGCACCTAAGAACGTGGGCTGTAAGTTGGCGTCGATAACGCGCACAGAGTCGGCTCCTCAATTCCGCTAGTTTGACCGACTACGCAGTCACCCTATCGGCTCCATTTTCGCAAGTTCATGCATCCTGCTGGAAGAGCAGTGAAACACTCAGACTGGCAGCCACGTTTTCACAGAGAGGTATCTTTGTCGTTCAATGCGAGGCCGACACCCCACTGTGGCGCTGTCGCAATTACCATCCCGGTTCGATGACTATACGGAGCCGGGCGGTGGCGCCTGCGAAGGAGTACCTCCTTTCTATCCTGGAGAGTATCGACGAGCTACAGGCGACAAAGGTAGCGGCGCCTCGGGCTCTAGTGTTAGTGTCGTGGTTTAAGGGCCGCCACTACACGGCTTCGCTCCATACAGATCGAGTGGCCGATCATTGAAGCCTTACCGATACCCTGTACGGACCGAGTACGGCGTCGCCGCAGGGTCCGGCCCAGAGTTCTTGTGACACTAGGTCCACATCGTTGGTCCTATTAGAGGAGAAAGCTCTTCTGTTTTGTCTTTAGACGACAAATCCAATTAGACGGTTGCGACCGCACGTCGTTCGTCGTTTACGACGCTAAAGGTGCGGTCGCTCGAATCTCGGCACTGCCGTCTTCTGAATTCGCTCTAACTTTTACTACGAGCCTCCGTAGCGAACCCGGGCGGGCCTCTTAGGCACGGAAAACGAGGGCTCGGTAGGCCCCACTCCTAGCAGCGTCTGCGGACCCAGGCGCCGTCTCTCCAGCCGGCTTGCAACACAAGAAAGGTCAAGTTCGGTCAGACTTTAGGAGCTCTTCGCTAGCTGAGCCGGACGACGGAATTGCTCGAGAGGAGTAACCAGAGTTTTGAATTACTCTAGAGACCGAATGGCCGGCAACGGCAGCTACATCGCATCCTCTAGTCTATGGCGACTTCGGCGGGTGGGAAGCTACGGCGCGTTTATAGCATGATATGTTTCTTCATCACTTACACTACTTTGTCTTTCCTGACGAACTACTGACTAGCTTGTCCGACGCAGTTTTTGTAAGTGGACGTCGCTGTGGCGCCAGGAGTGCTTATTTCCCGGGGTCCAAGCGTACTGACAACGAGTGACAAATTTAACCACGGTTGTTTGGCTCGACCAATGTATTGCTAGTACGCAGCAGCGCCTATCGCCGTCTCTACTGGCCTCTCTGATTGACAATTTTGATGATTGGCAGAAGCTGCGGAATTTCAACTATGCGGCGAACGACGTATTACGTGTGTGTGACCCGCACAGGCGCGTCAACATGAGTCACCACCTCATGTGTGCCATCGTGTTTGACTACGAGACTTTTGCGCTGACGGGGACGGGCGAGAAGCCGGTTCGCCCTCACGAGCAACTCCGATGCCACTTTCGCTTACTGGGACTAATGGTACCTATAAGGGTATGTAATACACAGACGGGGATGCTCAGGTTGACTGGACTGCGCTCGTTCAATTTTTTACTATGGCTTTAGCCCCATCGGAGCAGCAGTTCCTTTTTAGGTGTTAAGGGCAGCTCACAGCAGCATCCCTGCTTCAGCCCCGACGATCCTTCCATTGAGGAACATAACGCTTACAGCCGGCATCGCAACCTTCAGAATTGGTCTACGCCCTGAGCTTTCGCACCTTCTCCACCAGGTTCTAGGTGTAGAGGCAGTGTAACGGGGTGAATCGTTACATAACAATTTATAAGAAATTGTTAATAGAATATAACTATAAGAGTTATATTCTCAGAATATTGTCATAAGGACAATATTCTGTAGCACTTCCAAGTAGTTCCTAATTGGTTGATATAGGCCATTATATCAACCAACGAAGACGCGCCACGACAGACGCACGCAATGAGTGGTGAGCAGATAACTGATTTACACATTTGTATTTAGACATAGTTAGATGAAGATAAATAGTGATTTATTGCAGACATTAACTATTATAAATACAGTTCTACTTTTACTCTAACCGAGTACTCGCTTCTTCTTACCGTCTTCCTCTGCACGTACGAGTGTACGTGAAGTTACGAGGCACCGCCTTATTCTGTTATCAGAATAAGTAGCTTGTACTGTCACCAGTACAAGCTTCAGGGTGCCCCGTTACACCTGGTAGCACTTTGTAGTCCGTCCAAGGACCGCGTTCACATCCAACATGAATATGTTGGATGATGAAGATGACCAAAGCTTTCACGCTACGCGTGACGGCTACTCCCATTTGAGCGATGTCGAATGGGATGCGGTTGAACGAATGGGTTCGACCATGGGCATCCATGCTGTTAGCGTCATGCTAGAGGCTCTCAATAGAGATGCCCAACATGCTACTATCGCCAAGTTCATTCAAAATGAACTTGACGCAGAACGCGAGAAAGTAGCCTTGCTTCACCAACAAGGTTCTCAACAAGCAGAGTTGTTGAGAGAACAAGGTGCTCAACAGTTTGAACTGTTGAGACAGCAGCAGGCTGCTGCTGGCGGGTCGATGCACTCGCGTCGGCCCGAGACTTTGAAGATTGACATCTCAAAGTATAGGGGGTCGAAGAAGACTCCCTCTTGAGATGGTTCGTCGAATTGGATGACGCCATAAGGGCGCGTCGCATCGACGACGGGGATATGCAAGTTGCATTTGCCCAGTCAAATCTGGCAGGACGTGCCAAGACTTGGGCACTGGGGCTCAAGCTGCACGACCCATATGCGTTTGGGTCGTTGGAAGTCTTCAAGTCGCGGCTCAGACAAACGTTTGAACCGCCTAGAGCTGAGTTCAGAGCTCGAACCGAACTCTTGAAGCTCAAGCAGGGTAAGCGTGATGTGCACGCTTACGCTCAACATATACGACATCTCACGAGTTGTATAAGTTCCAATCCGGTGGATGAACACACGTTGGTTTCGGTGTTCATGCAGGGTCTTGCGGATGGTCCCGTCAAGACTCACCTGTTCCGGCTTGAACTAGATTCACTAGAACAAGCCATTT